TGTATTTATATATATATGTAATGTTTATTTGGCTACCAGACCTTGATCTCTAGAAGCCCATGTCTACCACTTTGGGATGAGAAATCAACTTCTAAGTCTACATATTAATGAGATAGCTCAAAACCATCCATCCATTATCTTTTACCCGATTCTTTCATTTTGGGTCACGGGGGTTGCCAGTGCTCATGTCCAGCAATCACTGTGCGAGGGGTGGGGTACACCCTGGACACGTCGCAAGTCCATCACAGGGCCACATAGAGACAAACAACCTCATACTATGAAGATAAACAACCATTCACTCTCTCACTCACACCTAGAGACAATTTAGAGTTACCAATCAGCCTAACATGCATGTTTTGATCTGTGGGAGGAAGTACACGGAGAACCCACACATGCACGGAGAGAACACGCAAACTCCACCCAGAAAGGCCCCTGGCTGGGATTTGAACTGGCGACCTGCTCACAGAGAGGCGGCAGCTCTACCAACTGTGGCACCATGCTGCTCTGACCATAAAAATATTTAATAAAAATGTCAGAATGATAATTTAGCATTTCATATTTATAATTATGAGATGCGGACTCATAATATAAGCCATAATTGTGAGAAAATATCTCATAATTTTCAGATATCTTATAAGAAATCTTTTTCTTGCACTCAGATTGTCCTGCTATACAATCGGTCATTTAACAATAAAAATGATAAAAACTCAATGGATTACAGACAATGCAGTTAAGAGCTTATTTAGAAATTTATCTAGCACTTCAATATTAATTTTTCCATATTATCAGAGAAGAATTTCATTAAAAATGCCAAATACTACTCCAAAACAGCCGCAAATCCAACAAAACCCTACAATGACGAAATGGCTGTGATTTACACAGAACCATCACAGTGCTGCCTTCATGTGGAATATGGAACAAATTTCAAACTGTGTTGAGTTATATTAGATAAAAATACAAAAGCACGTTGAAATCATTAATATGTTTTATCTAAAAAATAAAACAATTTAAGTAGAACTGTGGGTGTTAATATAATCAGGGTGTCTGGAGTCTTCTTCTTCTTCTGGCCGCTCTCTTCTTCATGGGTCGCCACAATGAACTAACTCGCATGTTTTTCTCCAGATGTCCTTCCTGAAGCTACCACAGCCCTGTGTGTGGAGCAGAGAGCTGTCATCTAGGGCACCTGTGGGAGCAGATGGTGGGGGTTAAGGGCCTTGCTCAAGGGCTCAGAGTGGAGCAAACGAGGGTGGAGGCAGGTGTTGGCGCTTCACCTTTCCCACACACATTTTGATCTCGTTGGTCCGGGGAGTCGGGCTTCTCTAACCTCCACCATTCTGGACTCCAAAGTAAAATATTTTAAATTGTCACACAAAATATGGTTAAAGTCTGAACACAGGGGTCTGAAACAACTAAAAGTGAATATAATAAAACATTGTTGGAGCGTTTAAATCATTTTGCATCTCTTCATTTGCAGTCGACCGTGGAGCTCTGAGTCGTTCTATTACAAACATGTTTATTTAGGTGCATCTCATTAAAGAGTTGTTTCAAACAGAAGGAGCTTCTGTCTCGGGGGGTCTCAAACCTCTGGGCCCTCTGTGCTCACAAATCTGATTCAGTGATTGCCCTTTGCTGGTTTTTTGTCCTTCCCTCTTTTTCCACTGCACCTCAAAGCCCCAGTTTCAATCACTGCTGGCCTGAAGGTGTTCTGAACAGCCAATGGGACGCTGACAGCGGAGACGACATGACCCAATCCGTTTGGTTACATCCAACCATGTATTTTCAATTACTGAGACCCTGCTGGCCAAACCACAAACTGTGTCCTGATGAGTGGAAAACGCTGCCGGCTCGGGTGAAGCTCTATCTACGACAACCATCGCTCCCTTTGGACCAGTTTTAGTTTGTAGATTCAGAGGCGCTGGATTTAATTATGTCAAGTCGACTTTGATGTTCCCAGATTTAATGCTCTCATTGTCTGTAAAAAAATACAAATTAAAAGAAGTATTTGGTTTTCATTTATTGTAGAATGATGGGTTTTTATACTTTCTGACATAACTGCAGATCAGTGAGAGAAAAGATGAACTGTAGTTTTTTTCCCCCTAAATGGTGACAAAACTAACTTATTTCCAATTTATGCTCAAATATTGAGGTTCATCATTTAAAAAAAATGAAACAATCTTTCAGAACTTACTTTTTTCCCTCATTGGTTATGTGCTAATTGGATGACGTATGGGGTTTATAAAGAGAAAATACCAACAGAAAAAGCAAATAATAGCGTTCAATTCAATTCAATTCAGTTTATTTATTTAGTGCCAAGTCACAACAGAAGTCATCTCAGAGCACTGAACATAAACATTCATATATAAAAATAATAATTTAACACTATTTATCGGAGCAGACTGCTTTGAGTTTAACTTCATCACAGACTTTCATCTTGAGCAAGCATGAAGGTGACAGTGGAAAGGAAAAACTCCCTCACGAGGAAGAAACCTTTAGCAGAACCAGGCTCGGGACAAGCGGTCATCTGTTTCGACCGGCTGGGTTTGAGAGGAACAGGAAAGAGGAACAGATACACAATGGCAGGTCAAGAATCACATGTTAAGATACAAATAATTGTATTCATTGGTTAACTGGACATCATTAACTTCACGCAGACTCTCTCACTGGTACATTTTCATCTTTAAATCACTTCTTGGTCTGCTGCCTTCATACATCTCCTCCTACATGTCTCTGCGTGAGTGCAGCTACGGAGTGCGCTCTCAGGACATTATTACCTGCAGTGTTCCCTCAGTGAGGACTGAACTAGGCAAAAGGGCCTTCTCCTACTCCGCTCCTGTTTCCTGGAATATCTTACAAAAAGATTTGAAGCTCTCGACCTTGACCTCTCTAAGTGGCTTTAAGAATCTGTTGGACTCCTGGCGGGGTCCAATGCAGACATGTTCCTGTTTTTAGTTTTCTACATTTGTCTTGGAATCTAGCTGTTTTTTTGTTTTGTCACCTTTTTCCTTTTAGCCATCCTATTTGTTAAAAAAAAAAAAAACAAAAAAAAAAACTGTAGTATGAGTTTTTATAACTGCTTATTGTTGTTGCTGTTGTCCATTGTTGTCATCTTTCTTTGTTGAAATCAGGTCTCTCTTGTAAATGAGTCCTCGAGGCTCAATGGGATTTACCTGTATAAATAAAGGTTGATTGATTGATAATATCAAATGAAAACTATTCGATTTTAGCAAATCGTTTAAGGAAATGAGGTCAGTTTGTCCTCTGGTAGTCTTACGGACGGAAACTGGAAGTTGGTTCCACAAGAGAGGAGCCTGATAACTGAAAGATCTTCCTCCCATTCTGCTTTTGGAAACTCTAGGAACCAAGAGTAAGCCTGCAGTCTGAGAGCGAAGTGCTCTGTTAGGAAAATATGGAACAATAAGATCTGTAAGATGGAGCTAGGTTGTTGAGGGCTTTGTAGGTTAGAAGTAAGATTTTAAATTCAATTCTGGACTTGACGGGGAACCAATGGAGAGAAGCTAAAACTGGAGAGAGATGATCTCTCCCACTAACTCCAGTTAAGACTCTGGCAGCAGCATTTTGGATCAAATGAAGACTTTTTAAAGAAGTATTTGGACACTCAGATAATAAACCATTGCATGTCAGTTGTACTGACATGGTTGAGCAAAACACTTTTCTGAATCTAGGTTAAAAAATAAAATTATTCCATTAATTTTAGAGATGAAGCTAAATCACTGTGCATTTTGGAGCAAATCAAATGAGCAAAGTGAAACAAACAAATTCCCGATGCATGAAAACAATTTAACGAACATTAAAGATGATTTTATGTGAAGGTTTTGCTTTGCATACGATTCATTTTTGGACGCACTGCGACACCGAATTCAGAATCAAATATAAAGGTTCCACATTTTTAGATAACACACACACCTCCCTGTTATTTCAGATTATTTCAGTATATTGGCTTTACTCCAAAAAGGTGATGCGAGATGTTTGTTCAGTTGTACGATCGTCACTTATTACAAGCGTTAAACTTCTTCCACACTTGAGCTGAAACGCCTGATGGTGTTTAAAATTGCAAATCGGTTGTTTGTGAATGTTTATATCGAGATATTTTCAGGACAAGTTTAAACCTCAGCAGTAGTTTTTGCTTAGATTTTTAAAACTCAACATTCTCCCCTAAGTACTAAATATTTCAGCTGAATTAATTACAAATTGTTGTGATTATAACTTTGATCTCATTAACTAGACGATGCATAAAAATATGGAATTAAAACACTTCAGGACTCCCAAACGGGTTGTCGGGTAACAAGTCATTTTTAGAAATATAAACTACTGAATTTTTTGGATTATAAGGCACATTAAGTGAAAAAAAAACCCAAAAAACAGTCAGATAAGTCAAACTTTATTCATCTCATTCACAATAACTCTCAACATTGTTCAGTTATACCACATAAAATCGGTTCGAGGTC